GCCTTGGCCCTTCACTCCTCCTTTGGGAAACACCATTGAGTCAAACCCTTGACCCTCGGTGTTGTTCCTCCTTCCAGCTCCCTTTGTCTGCTTTTGGAGTACCCTTGCTCCTTCTGATTCCGGACCCCTCCTTATATACAATGTACATAGTAACTTGTAACCTCAGTCCGAAATCGACTTGATTTCCCCCCAAGAGACTTTCCCTCTGCTAGATCCGAAATTAGGGACCCCCAGGACAACCAGCAATGACACAGCGCTCCACCTGAGTTGCTGAGGCCGAGGTCCTTCCATGCTAAGTCTCCAATTCCATTCCGGAGTTGTCTGAATCCGCCCGATCTAACACTATGATGCCACTGATGAATTGCCCTTAGCAGTGCTGAGTACTAGTATGCACCAAATCATACATCTCATATCATTCTAATGTCTTTTTTATCACAAGTCCTTGACCCCACAACAAAAGATACATACATTAAGTACTTTTGGGCTCCAGAATATCAACCAAAAGCAATGGATGCTGTGTGAAAGATTGTAAGTTTTTTACTTCCCATTTCCCAGGCCTGACTGAGCCGCTTTCAGTTCCTTGAATACCATCAAGCCCACACCACTCCTGTGACTCAGTCCTTGGGAAGCACTATTCCACCTGAGGCTACGAGATTGTCAACATCGGTGTCATCTGTGTCACAAACATTTGCCATATCACGTTGTCTTGCTGCCAGCCAGATGTGCCGTACTCAAGAGATCTAGGCTGGCGATCCATACATTGAGCTGAATTGCTACATGAGCAATGTTCTTGAACCACCTGGTGCCGGTATGCTGGATTTTTGGAAGGTACATATATTAACTTTAAAAATCTTTGCATCACACTCAGCAGGCTCTATGATACATAGAACAGGGGCTCCACATATCCAGTGTTGCAAACAATGGCATGGGACATTCTTCCAGTCCCCGGATCATCTGTGCCATGTGAGCAGGCATTCTCCACAGCTAAGCATACCAATACTGGGAGCCGCAGTTGCCTGCTACCTGAACACCTTGGCTGGATTCAGATCTCCAAAGCCAACCTGCTACAATATCAGCAGGAAAAGAAGGATGCAAAAGAAATGGCTGCTCAAGAACAACTCAAAAGGTGGAAAGAATATGAGGCTAAGGAGGCAGCAAAGCGTGCAGAGGATGTATAATACTTCTTGCAATATATTAATTCCGCTGTAAATACATCTCATTATAGGTGTCTGTTTGAACTGGTTTGAACCCAAACCAAACTGTTGTTGGACCATGGTTTGGTTCAAACCAAAGTTCGGTTCAGGTTTGGCCTTCCCATCCTCTTTTCAAACCAGTTTGGGTTCAGGTTCGCAGGATTCTACCTCTGAACTGAACTGAACCGAACCATGGTACCCCTATCACCAGCTGCATCAAGAGTTTTCATGCAAGCATTGGGTGGCCCAAGAATCATGTCATATCCATGCATACCCGATCCCGACCCGACTCCCGGACCTCCTTCTTCACCACCTCCAGAGTCCTACCCTACCACTGTCCATTCCGATATTCACCTTCGGTCCTGACACCACACCTCCTCTCACTCCTCATGCCACCTCCACTCCTCCATCCTTCTCCTGTCCTATCTCTGTCTGCTCCAATACTCACCTCGGGCCGAACACCACTCCTCTTGCCACCCTCTTCCTACTCTTCCTCCCACTCCTCCTCTTCCTCCTCACAACACCTCCACCCTTCTGTCATTCTCCTACCCTTCGCCCGTCCGCTCCGATACTCACCTTCGGACCTGACACCTTTCCTCTCCTCCACTCCTTTCCCCTTTCCCTTTTCCTCTTCCCCCTCTCTTCCCCCTGGCCCTCTTCCGCCAACCTTCCGCCAAGTTACGACCTTCCGCCACTGTCCCATACCTCATACTCGGACACCGCTCATACCTTCACTCCAAGACTCTGTCATAGTTCCTACCTCGACTTTGACTCCACCTCGGCTTTAGTCCATTGCATTGGTGACCTCATACTACGTAAACACCATTGCCAATATTCCTCAGACTTTCAACCCCACCTCCATAAGCTCCATAAGCTCCATAACTGTGAGGTCTTTGGGTAGCTCAGCACACAAAGCCGTAAGTGATACAAGAATGTGTATTTTACGGTGGTGTGTAAGCAATTACCCAGAGGTTCCCGCTTACCCACGTGACTATATGTATCTAATTTACATATGACTCGGGGTTCGGGGCTATTGCGCTGACAGTAACCCCCAAGCTCCATGGATCACCTTCAGCACTTTTGCTGCTTGTAATGTATCTTTTGCGTTTTCCCTCATCCCTATTTGGACTGCTGCTTCTTCCCATTCTAGCCAGTTAGTCATCATCCCCACTTCCCCTCATCCTCCTGCCCCTCTGGGCTTCACCCTCTTTACCTCCTTTCGGATGTACCACAGGTTCTGCCCTATGACCTTCGGTACCGCTCCACTTCTGTCATCCCTTTGTTCCCGTTCGGACGCCTTCATTCCGATTCGGACCCCTTTTGTTTCCCTGTGCTTTTGCCCTCTCCATTATATATATCAGTGCTTGTACATACTCATTTTAGGCCTTAGTCTAAAATCAACCTGAAATGCCCCCTAGAGACTTCCTGCTCACTGCCTATGAAATTAAGGACCAAATGGACAAACAGCAATGGCACAGCGCTCCACTTGAGTTGCTGAGGCCAAGGTCCCTCCTTGCTAAGTCTCCAGTTCCCCTCTGGAATTGTCCACCCTCGCCCAGTTCTAACAAATCAGATCTCTCCGGTAAGTAATGATTGTCTACCTCTCTCCAAGTTGAATCTCACCCAGGCTTCATTAGTGCTATTCAGGCAAAAGAGCCATGTATAGCCCCTGGGATTTCACCCATAAACATTAGAATTGCAATGGAGACTCTGACAAAGTTGAATTATGGTGGGCCAGTCTGCATTGTGGTCGATGATACAAAAATCCAGCCTGGTCTCCGGGCATTCCAGGACTCTAGTGGGGCATGGTTTGCAGTCGGAAATGTCGGCGCTCCAATTTGCATCAAACAGTGGGATGATGTTGATCCATCTGCAGAAGAAATTGCAGATAAACTCTGAAACACAGATACTTTCCAGGCTGAAAAAGTGCACTTATTTCTACTCATTATTCCCCTTGTGAGTGTGCAAAATTCTGAACTCTATGAGTCTATAGCGCTGATGCTAGTTTAAGGTTCTGCCAATTCCACCCGCAGCAATCGCTTTAGGGCTGAAAACTTCAGCTGCGGATCTCAAGTCATGGTTTGATGAGATCTATGATCTACTTGCAGCTGAGGGATGCCATCTGATCACAATTGCATGTGATGGTGCAAATACCGAAAGGTCACATCAAAATGCAATAATTGAAAGTGCAAACAAAACTGAGAATCACCTCATTGCCCCTTCCCACCCCCATGCAAAACTTACTGTCAAGATCCCACTGCTGAAGGGACGCTATCCTTTCATTGCCGTTCAAGATGCCAAGCATGTGGCAAAGACAGCTCGCAACCAGTTGATGACTGGGGCTTGTTGTGTTGCACTTGGCCCAGATCCTATGAACTATGAAAGCCTGCTTCAGCTTACATCTCAGGATGCTCCACTTCTCCAATGTGATGTTCAAAATCTAGATCATCAAGATGATCGTGCTGCAGCACAACTCTATGCTGCTGAGACACTCAAATACATAGGCACACACATGAAATCAGTCTCACTTGGGAGTTATTTATTTATCATTGGTGAGCTTGTCATATCCATGCATACCCGACCCCGACCCGACTTCCGGACCTCCACCCTCTTCACCTCCGGAGTCATAACCTACCGCTGCCGTTCCGATACTCACCTTCGGTCCTGGCAACACACCTCCTCCTTACCTCTCACCACCCTCCTACTACTCCGCTCCCCCTTCACAACACCTCCACCCTCCCGTTATCCTCCTACGCTTCCCCCGTCTGCTCTGATACTCACCTTCGGACCTGACTACTCTCCTTTCCGCCACTCCTTCTCCCCTTACCTGTCCCCTCTCTCCTCCCTCCGTTACTCCTCCGCCACCCTTCCGCCAAGTTACGACCTTCCACCGCTGTTCCGTACTTTGCACTCGGACACCGCTTGTACCTTACTCCGAGCCTCCGTCATAGTCCCTACCTCGGACTTTGACTCCACCTCGGCCTTAGTCCATTGCATTGGTGACCTCATACTACGTAAACACCATTGCCAATATTCCTCGGACTTCCAACCCTGCCTCCGTAACCTCCGTAAGCTCCGCAACCCCCAAGCTTCGCGGACTGCCTTCAGCACTCTCGCCACCTGTAATGTATTTCTCGCGTTTTCCCTTCATCCCTATTTGGACTACTGCTTCTTTCTATTCTAGCCAGTTAGTCATCATCCCCACTTCCCCTCATCCTCCTGCCCCTCTGGGCCTCGCCCTCCCTACCTCCTTTCGGATGTATCACAGGTCTTGCCCTATGACCTTCGGTACCGCTCCACTCCCTCTACCCCTTGTTCCCGTTCGGACGTCTTCGTTCCGATTCGGTCACCCTTTGTTCTCTTTGTGCTTTTGCCCCTTCCATTATATATATCGGCGCTTGTACATACTTGTCTTGGTTTCAGTCCGAAATCGACCTGAAATGCCCCCAAGAGACTTCCTGCTCACCTACTGTGAAATTAAGGACCAAATGGACAAACAGCAATGGCACAGCGCTCCACTTGAGTCGCTGAGGCCAAGGTCCCTCCACGCTAAGTCTCCGATTCCACTCCGGAGTCGTCTGTTTCCGCCCGTTCTAACAGAGCTGATCGATGCATGGCAAAACCAATCACTTGCCCATGCTGATCACTTACTACTTACCTTACAGTGCCGCTACTTCCTGAGCCACTGGCACCAGCATATACTTGAGCATCCACTCCATGAGACAAGCATCAACTTTATCTTGGACTCATGTTATAAAATCCTGACAACATTGTGTGATAGCCTCATCCAGCTCATTTATATCCACCATGAACATTATCCCAACATACCCTTTATCCCTTGGCTCTACTCTACCGAGGTCAATGAACATGTGTTTGGGATTTTGCATGGGATTAGGGCGGACTTCACATTCCTTGACTTTATACAACTCATCCCAAAGCTTGGTGCAGTCCTCACAAGTGCATATCATGGAGTGGTTAACCAGGAGAAGGCCAATGTTCATGCATCAGGGTACTTGCACACCTACTTTGATACATGCAGTCTCGATCTTGTGGCCCTCAAGACTTACCCATCAGAGAGCAAGATTGACGAGATTGCCATAATTGCCCATGAGGAGGCAGTTTCGCTTCTTAAGGCTCTCGATGCTACATCTAGCTTGTTCACAGGAATGTTTACGGCACATGAGCTCACTTGGTGGGTGGAGCATGACGATGAAGATAGTCAGGATGATGGCCATACCATGAATGACAATGGCCCTTCAATTTCGACCCTTATGACTGACATAGGCTCTAATTTTGGTCATGGGGCTGATAAGCGTATCCAAGCGCTAGGTCTGGCCACTGTTGCAACCAACTTCCAAATACAGGCTCAATTGTATGTTTTATGCTCTTTTGAATTGGTTTATCTGACAAGAACCCCAGGACTGACTTTCCTGACACATCTGATGACCATATTGCCCAAGCAGAGGAATGGATTCAGTCAATTTTAAACTTTGACTTGTGTTCAAATGACAGCAGTGTCACTGACTGGGATATTGACATGAACCCCATCTCACATGTTCCAACACTCCATCATGAAACACATGGAGATCATATTCCTGAGTGTTAGAAACGGGCGGATACAGACGACTCCGGAGTGGAATCGGAGACTTAGCGTGGAGGGACCTTGGCCTCAGCGACTCAAGCGGAGCGCTGTGCCATTGCTGTTTGTCCATTTTGGTCCTTAATTTCACAGTAGGCGAGCAGGAAGTCTCTAGGGGGCATTTCAGGTCGATTTCGGACTGAGCCCAAAACAAGTATGTACAAGCGCCGATATATATAATGGAGGGGGCAAAGCACAAGGAAACAAAGGGGATCCGAATCGGAATGAAGACATCTGAATGGGAACAAAGGGTAGACAGAAGCGGAGCGGTACCAAAGGTCACAAGGCAGGACCTGTGATATGTCCGAAAGGAGGTAGGGAGGGCAAGGCCCAGAGGGGCAGGAGGATGAGGAGAAGTGGGGATGATGACTAACTGGCTAGAATGGGAAGAAGCAGCAGTCCAAATAGGGATGAGGGGAAAACACGAGAGATACATTACAAGCGGCGAAAGTGCCAAAGGCGATCCGCGAAGCTTGGAGGTTGCGGAGCTTACAGAGGTTACGGAGGTGGGGTTGAAAGTCCGAGGAATATTGGCAATGGTGTTTACGTAGTATGAGGTCACCAATGCAATGGACTAAGACCGAGGTGGAGTCAAAGTCCGAGGTAGGGACTATGACGGAGGCTCGGAGCAAAGGTACAAGCGGTGCCTGAGTACGAAGTACAGGACAGCGGTGGAAGGTCGTAACTTGGTGGGAGGTCAGTGGAAGAGTACCAGAGGGAGGAGAGAGGAGAAAGGTAAGGGAGAAGGAGTGGTGGAAAGGAGAGTTGTCAGGTCCGAAGGTGAGTATCGGAGCAGACGGGGGAGGCGTAGGAGGGTGATGGGAGGGTGGAGGTGTTGTGAGGGAGGAGCGGAGGAGTAGGAGGAGGAGTAGTAGGAGGGTGGTGAGAGGGGCGGTGTTCGGTCCGAGGTGAGTATCGGAGCGGACAGAGATAGGGGAGGAGAGGGAAGGAGGAGTAGAGGTGGCATGGGGGGTAGAAGGAGGTGTGTTGCCAGGACCGAAGGTGAGTATCGGAATGGGCAGCGGTAGGGTATGACTCCAGAGGTGAAGAGGGTGGAGGTCCGGAAGTCGGATTGGGGTCGGGTATGCACGGATATGACACTGAGCTTGTTTGGTCTCTCAGGAGGTGCCCCCCATTGGTTACTGTGCCACATTCAACAATCAACTTTGAGGTGCTTACTATGTACAGAGAAAGACATCAAACAGATGCCACATGCGAAGCAGTATGAAGGAACCCCAAGCCCATGAATGAGTGCCAAGACCACACATCTCAGAATCAAAGCTTCCTTAAAATGCTTTCGGCTGAGCTGCGAAAGCTACAAGGCACTGAAGAGACTTCAGCAGGGTTGACAAGCAGAGTAGCGTGACAAGTTCGACATACAGGGACACACTCAGGCATGGACACCAGTACTCATCAAAAGAACAGAGCCACTCTGAATCAGTTCTCAGAGAAGGTATAGACAATGGTTAATTATTTATTGAGGGACATAGGCTGATGCACCCACAGAGAGTTGCAATGGCCCGTCAACGCTGGTTCACTTCTGAGGATTTACATCGAATCGAGGAGAAGATACTGCTAGGGAATGTCAGTTCTTTGCCTGGACTCAATCTCAAGAAGGGTGATCTGGTTTTCATCCTTCACAAGAAAACAATCTTCCTTGCACAAGGTTAGCGCCCCAGCATCAGCAAAAGTCCGTTATGCTCTGGAGCATCAAGAGTGGCTGGAGCATGTGGGAGACAAGACAGCAGATTGGGCACTCCTGGAGCCAATAGTGTTCTCCTGGGAGGGGGTTCAGGAGCAGCTGGGAGTGGTGAGGAGTATGCAATGTGCCAGGAGCAGTGGGAGGAAAATTTAGGGAAAAATCAAAAAAAAATTCAGGAACTATAGTGCCTTTAAAGTGCTTTCAGGACATATAATTATTTGCAAAATTGAGGAAGAAATGATGGAGAAAAATGGAAAATACTTTTGGAGACCCGAGAAATAATGAGAACTGAATTGATGGGAAAGTCTGAAAATTGAATAGGAAAGTGAGGGGAAGCCTTGTAGCATTGTTATTTTCTGCTGTTCTGATTTTTCCTGATTGTTCTTGGTCTCACTCCCAGCTGCTCCTGGACCCTCCCAGGAGCTTCCTGGAGTATCCTGATCCAGTAGCAGCTGGGAGTGAGACCAAGAACAATCAGGAAAAATTAGGACAGCAGAAAATAACAATGCTTACAAGGCTTCCCCTCACTTTCCTATTCAATTTTCAGACTTTCCCATCAATTCAGTTCTCATTATTTCTCGGGTCTCCAAAAGTATTTTCCATTTTTCTCTATCATTTCTTCCTCAATTTTGCAAATAATTATATGTCCTGAAAGCACTTTAAAGGCACTATAGTTCCTGAATTTTTTTTTTGAATTTTCCCTAAATTTTTTTTTCAACTTTTTAGAAGTCCCTATTTTTCAAATTTTCCTCATTTCCCTCTATATCCCCCCCTCATTCCCCCCTCATTCCCCCCTCATTCCCCCCTCATTCTCCCCCTCATTCTCCCCCTCATTTCCCCCTCATTCTCCCCCTCATTCTCCCCCTCATTTCCCCCTCATTCTCCCCCTCATTCTCCCCCTCATTTCCCCCTCATTTCCCCCCCTCATTCTCCCCCATTTCCCCCTCCTCCATATTCTGCCAGCCCGAAAGTGATTAAGTTGCCAGATTAATCATATATCAGGCCATAAATTTTGATTGTGTATTGGTGAGTCTCAGTGTCCTTGATATATAGTATAGTGTTTGATCTAAATGTTAAGCAGTGTCTTAGCCATGCCGGTATAGGCTGTTAAACTCTATACTATTGGGAACATATTATATTCTCCAACACCTATCTCAGCGTATGACTGTTTTCACCATTTTCTTTGTCATCACAGGATGTTGGTCGCTTTTCCAACTTCGTACCCAACCAGAATGGCACCCCAACCACAGCATTCGCTCATTTGAAGCCCAAATATGTTCTTCTATCCCTCAATCAATGTGGCAAAGTTGAATGGAAACACAACGCAATTCCGTCAATACTCCACTCACTGCAGATTGACACATTAATTATTCCTGAGACAATGCACATTGTGTATGAGAAACTCATGAATGTTGGTACAATCGAAGTTGCGATCCGGAAGCTGCAGGAGGGTCTGTAGGAGGGTGTGTTGGATTAGGGTAGATTAATGATTCTTGCACAAATATCATTGCTGGCTCAATTGTGATGCCACCCAAGTGAAAAAAAAATTTTAATGTCCGATCTGTTTGAGGGCCGAACTGGCGTTTTTCTGCAGGTCTGACTTGTCTGAGGGCCTAAATGAGGCTGGGGGACTCGAAATTTGAGGGCCGAAATGGGGGTCTTCCGATCGGACCTCTAATGGAGTATGCTGGGGTCCTGTCCTGCCCAACACTAAGACTGAGCTATTGAATTGAGCCTTCTCCACACCAAACAGCCACGAGTGGGTGTTGCCTTGCAGGCGACAGAGCTCTCTACTTCCCAATCTGGAGTCCTCAAGGTGGTAGTGACATGAGTGTCTTTCAAGTGTCCTACTGCCCTTGCATCGACCCCTTTTCCGTTCAGCTGCTCTCCAATTGCAAGAAGAAGCGAGCCTATACTACTTGGTGAACAACTCAATTGCTGCAATTCAAACCAAACCACGTTAGTGCGGTAGACACTGCTACATGCCTCTAGGACGAGAACCCACCTTGTCGTGGTCTAGAGGCTCCCCCAGTATGCCCAATGTGGCTGCTGGTTTTGGGTCTAAGAGGTTCTCCTTTGCCGTGATGGATAACGACGTGGATGGCACTTACACGACCCGTTATCCTGCATTGGCCTTTTGCACCGTTCTGTGCCGCCTTCTTCCATCACCTTCCACTTTCCTACCTTCTTGCTCACAGTAGTTGAGAGACCATGGGCACAAGTCTATCTCCCTTCCTTCTCTTACGAAAGCACTGAGTGGTTCGCAATACACAGGGCTCCGCGCCTAACGGTTATTGCCCCCGCCTGCGTTACCGAAGCGCAGTTCTCCAAAGGACCAAGAGGCACGAAGGAGTCGTCTGGCCAACATTCCCAGGAGCCGTTTCAACTAACCCATTTCGCCGCGGTTCTCCAACGCATCAAGAGGCACGCTTACGCGTCTGGCCAACAAGGCTCGGAGCCGGCATCCGTTGCCAACAAATCCAAAATGTATACTCCCCCCCGGAAACGGTGTATGAGTACCCTAGGCGCTCCGAACCCACGCATCCATATGTTTTACTTCCCCTCTTGTACATAATTTTTGATCTTTTGATCCGTGCCCTTGGCACCTCATTTGGGCAGCCTGCACGTGCACGTTAAATATCCAGAGCTCACACACACACACACACACTGCTACATGCACGCATTTGGACCTTTCCGACGCCCAGCTTTATATTCAAATACGTCCCCATAATAGGGTTTGGACCCTACCAAATAAAGTCCAGACCAGTGTCTAGGAAGCGATGTCGATTCTTACCCCGCTATGTCTCTATCATCTGCTTTGCGATACAGCGGCGCATAGGTGATCTTAGAATTTGTGATGATTGAAGCGATTTACAAGTCAGTGCTTGTGTCTCACGTTGCTCAAGTTGCCCTCGCGCTTTCTGTGAGTTTACTTGCTGTGGAAAAAGACATTTTATGATTACTCCATTCCCGCCAAGATGAGCAATCTTGTGAACGCTGCTGAAATGCTTGATCTTAACCAGTCAATGACATTCGACCCAGTTAATAGCTTGATTAGCACGGCTTGCCATGTATCTTGATGTTCCTCCCATCGTTACACCGTAGTGTACGTGAGAGTTTACATGATGGGAGCAGCATCGTCGGCACTTTGTATGACGTAGGATGGTGCTGGTTGCGTCACCGAGGTCAGAAATCATGCTGGAGCACAAGAAGTGGAGCAATGGGCTGGATGAGTCCCACTATTCATTTCGGCGACAGGCGCACTGGACACGCTGTCCGAACATAATACCCAGGGTCGAATGTATTGCCAATGTAACTCTGCGGGAAAATGCTAAGCACGCTTCCAACTGGTGAGCTACTATATACTACCATTGCGGCCAGCGTTCAGAACGCCATAGCAATTTGCTCTGACAAGTTGACCGTATTTTAATTTGATTACCCGGAATGATTCATACTTGCCTTCTTGTGGCTGGTTGACACTCGCCAAGACATTGATTTACTTCCCCGGAGTGTTGGTGCTAGCCGACTGAATTCACTGGCCCTCATATGTACGACAACCCTTGAATTATTGATTTGCTCGTTGAGCTTTTGTGGGAGGGTTTGACATAACCGTCAAACTTGGCCAATTGAGTTCGCATATTGCCCATGTCTTCAGGGGTTGATGTCATTCGTTTGAACGAAGCACCAAGTAAAGTACTCTCTCACATGCTCAAGTCGCTAATTAGCATTCACTTACATTTTCTCGATCAACCTCAACACTTGAAGGACAGACAAATATCGCGTAATACGAACAATCTCCTACCCAGAACTTTGACAAGCTGCACAGTGAATAACTCCCTGCTGCGGTCATTATGGAGTCCACTGATTCACTTGGCTGTGGCACTATGGACGTGCTGTACCATACTCATGTGCCAGTCATCTTGTGGTACGTTGCTGGAACAAGAGAAGTTTGATAGGTAAGTGATGTGTATTCTGGACAAATAATGCATCCATAACACAGCCCCTGCATAGCGTGCTGCATGCGGGCCAGTCTGGAATCCAGTCGATATGCCGAAGGAAATGGAACGAAACCTGCATTGGTGATCCTGGCATCTTGCATGAGGTATCTGGGCGAGTGGCAGCCTGGCAGGCCTAGGTGTTTTCTCTGCTGACATCGGATGTCCAGATTCTGCTTGCTAACAATTGTCGATGATTCTCGATCGCCTATGTCTCTCGACATTTGTGGAGTATACACACGCATTCCGGCACGTGCTCTTGCGCCAATTCGTTCACCTACTGTGTTACGGGGATGGGGGAAATTCCCCATTCCTCGATCCGTTCTTATAGTGGGGAGACGAGAGTCGTGTCTAGTTTGTACCATAACTGGAAGTGTAATCGATGAGTGATCCCAGTCTGACCTGGGAGTGGACGATCGAATTCCTATCGATCGCGATGGGTGATGTAGTGAGCTATTAAGGGATTGATGATTGATAGTCAGAGATATCAGGACAGATGGGTCAGCCACGGATACTTGGCGCTCCTCAATGGAGCGTACCGTGTGCGAGGTCGCGACTGGTGAGATGGGTGAGAGCTTCGCGTAGTTGCCATCGGGTACTTGGCGTTCGCAGTGCGAACGTACCGGTAGCGGGTTGATACTGTAGGCGTGCAATGAGGGCTGACTATTAGGGCCTTCAGTGACTTGGCGTTCCCAAAGGGAACGTACTGTTGGCGGGGACATATGATGACTGGCAAGGGAAGAAACAGACGGTGGATGGGCGGCTACTTGGCGTTCGCGTAGCAAACATGCCGGCATCGCGGGTAAGTGGGCCTCATAGTGTTCACGATCACCATGATCGTGATAGGACGTCGTATGTTGAGTACTGGGGGGAGAGCGGAGTGATGAAGACCCATAGGGTACAGGTTCGATAGGACGATACACACGTCGAGAGTCTTCGACTCTCGACTTCGAGTTCTCGCGGCGAGGGCCGTTAGAGGACTCGATATAACCAGACTTATAAGACATATTGAGAGTTGTACAGTCACACAGGTTCAGTTGAGTCACAGGGAGGGTTGTTACAGAAGATGGTACACGAGACAGTTGTAGAGCAGTTGTTAGTTAGCGGGAACCGCCTTCAGCGGTTTCCGTACAAGACGCATGACTATCTACAAATGGTAAGGTCGCGGGAAATCCCGCGAAACACAAATAACCTTGGCCAGCACCAAAACCCCAGTTGGGGAAAGCTTTGCACGAGGGGGGGGGAAAGGGATAGAACGGATAAGGAGGATGGGGTATCAGGATAGAGGACGGAAGGGAGAAAGAGGGGAGGAACGATAATGAGGAGAAGTCTTTGACCATGTGACGGATATGGTCGTTGGAGACTCCGTATCCGTAACATACTGGTTAAAATGGGGTGCCAGAATCGCACATGTGGATCCTGTCCGGCACCAGTACTCGAGTTATTTCGAACCCCTATGTCCTTTCCTTTGGCACCAATTTACGATTCTTTTCTCCACACTCAGATGACATAGGCAGAATTTTTCGCTTGGCTCCTGCTGGCATGTGCCCCAACTTGGTGAGTATTAGTCAACAGTCCACCAGATAATGTCTGTACTACTGTGTCCATCACCTCGATACCATATGCTGAGTGAGACACCAACAAGTCGGACCCACCGGTAGCAGTCTTGCCATCCGAGGAGTGGTCTCTCTTAGGTTTCTATCGGTCAGGCATTCACTCGAACGATGATCTCCAAGCAATTGCCCATATTCCATGTTAACCTTGTTCCTAATGGCAGTTCACCATTCTTATTCTGTGACTTGTGTAAGTGATCCTATAATGTCTGCCGAGATGCTTGGGTGCGATGGACTACACTTTGGGGCGACTTATCCCCTCTATCATTTACCATTAGGAGGGGTATACATTGCCCTATCAATAGCCATCTGACCGATAAGGCAGGAGAATGATGGTTATGTAAGGGATTTTTGAGCATAGATAACAATGGTACCCTTGTGGCTTTTGCATGTTACATAAGCATGAAATGTGTTATTTAGATGGTATTTCATTTCCGAGAATGCGATACGAATTACCTCTTTAGCTCTCTTTGAGGGCACCTCTTCGGTTCACCTAACACCCCATTCATCTGCCCGCGGGAGTACTGATGGGCTTTTTCTGGCCTTTTTGAACTCGCTGATCGCATGTATAAGTATATCCAATTACACGATCAACAAAAGTTGGTTCGGATTGGAATCCTCAACCAGACACCGCACTTCGATCACCTGTTCCCCTGGCAGTATGCAAGAGTGAGCTGAATTTGAAATCCTTACAAATGTTTGTTCGGACACTAGAAGCCGTGCGTTCAATATACTGCCTTGTCCCACTGCGGTATAAAGCTCACAAGCTGGGTGTCCAAATCTCCATTGTGCCTGCATCATCTCCATCACAATGGCAGCCGCTCTCATCAGCTTTATCCTCACGCAAAGCATCCGTGCCGCACCGATCTCTCAACATCCCCCACCCAACAGTACAGATTTCTCCATAAATTACTCGGATGCATGTAACGATCTGTGCCACTGTCGGACTATGTGGAGCATGGTATACAGCTGCCTCCTTACGATATTCGCTTGTGTTTGGACAGCACTCCATCCAGAAGTGCCTGAGCAATATTCGGCTTGGTCGTTTGAGCGTGGTTCTCGTAACCTTGAAATGATTTTGACGTTGGTTTCGCCGGAGCTGGCTGTTAGGGCTGCATGGACTGAGTTCTCCAAGGCATGGAGAATATCTCAAAAGTGTGCTGGAATTCAAGGTTTGGGCGCTGAATTCAATTCGGTTGAAGTCCTGACATCGATTTTTCACAAGGATGGACACTCACCCATTCATATTTTGTTATTATGAGTGGCTTCTTCAACTCTTCCAAACAAAAACTAGTGAAGCCAGATGGAAATGAAGATCCTTCTACTCTGTTCGAGAAATATCCCGGCATAATCGACAAGTCGGGAGGTCAGAGAAAGGTCGCAGTAACAAGGGAGGGGGTCCTCGACAGAAGCAAAGGCAGCTTTTTTTCAAAGTCCATTGTCATCCTCCAGTTACTGTGGTTCACCACTCAGTATGTTGGATGGTGGGCAAGTCATCTGCCCAGGTCACAACTGGAAGCGATGACTCTTGCTTATGCGGCACTCAGCATCTTGTTTCTGCTTTGTGGTGGCACAAACCACTGGACGTCCATTTTTCGATCGATGTGACGGAAGAGACTGAGCCCAATCCCTCGAGTTCCGAAGCCGTCACTGATCCAGTACTTCCCAAAACGGAGAACACGTCAAATCCGATTTCCCCTGCAGCGAAGATCATGGAGGCAAATCCCATATGGATATTTTTAGTCACTGGTATTATTTTTGGTGGGATTCATTGCCTCGCACGGTCATATCCATTTCCGACGTGTGTGGAGAAACTTTTGTGGCGCATATCTGCAATAGTTATTACTGTGGGCCCTGGCCCTTTGGGGTGGGCCTTAGTCAGTAGTGCAAAGAGAAGTGAGTCCCTTTTAACTCTCTTCATGCTTTTTTATGCTATTGCTCGGATTATCCTGTTCACTCTCACATTTACGTCTTTGCGATCTCCACCCCCCGACCTTTACCGAACTACATCCTGGACATCTTTCATCCCCCACCTAGGATAGCATAATCGTAGACACATAGTATTGTCGCTCTGCGTAATGAGAAACAGCAAGACTGTAGTATTGGGACAAAATACACCAGATGCGCCCATCACAACTATCCCGCACCGTCACCACAAACCTGCCGATCAAATGAGGATCCTCTACGAAATTTCTCGCCACCAGTCCCAGTCTGAGATCCTCAAACTCACTGAGGGGGCTAGCCCCAGCCTTCACAGGATATGAGTTGAGAAGAAGGGTAACCTTCTCAACCTCCTGTGAAGCCACTACAAATGGGAGTCGGGAACTATACAGTTTTCAGCTCTTTGCCGACTTTCCATAATTGGCACCCCCCGTGGGAAGATTCTGGGGAAGCTGCTTGCCCAGAAAGTTCCCACAGTCGTGGCTGTGATGGTTTCTGGGCAAGTAACTTGCCCAGAATGTTCCCATGGGTCTGCATGCATGCGGGATTGTGGAACAGTGAAGGGAAAAATAGGAGAAAATGGGGGGAAGGGTACCTGAGGGTGTGTGGGGTCAGGGGCTGTGCCCTGACATCCACCTATCACCCTCATCCACACTTCCTCCCCCATGTGTGTACCTTCCAACCAAGGTTGCCTGTTCAAGTGGTTCATTGTTGTCCACCTGCCAGCTGGATGGCCTTTTCTCTTTTGTTCGCTTGCCGACTATTGTTCCTCCTTTGCCACTTGTTGTTCTTGCTTGCCTTTTGTTGACTGTCAGAATCTGGAATATTGTCGGAGTCAGGCAGACTGTCAGAGTCGGATGAAAGATGGATTGGGTTCTGTCTGAGTTGAGGTCAGAGGTGATGCAGAGGTCTGTTGGAGCGTGTGCGCACAGATATGCAGGTGGAAATATGCGGCACGTCCGGAAGTGCTGTTCAAGGTTAGCAGAGTGGGATCGCGGCCTCAGCGACTCAGGTGGAGCACTGTGCCCTGAGCTTGACATTTGGGGGAGATCCCATATTTATGGATTGACACTCACAGCAGACTTCAAACAAGACTTGCAGGTGGAGTGGACCTGTAGGAGGAGCGCAGACTCCGCAAGCATGGACTCAGAGGGGGGGAAGCCCCCTTTGCAGAAGGAGAGACTCAGACCAGACAGGGGGGGTACTCTAGTTGATTTCAGACTGAGGTCCCCAAAAGTATTTACAAGGTATAAGTAGGTAAGAGAAATCAAAAGAGGGACCGGTTGGTCCGGTGCGGAAATAAGCGGAAATGAGCAGGGACTTGTCAAACTAAACCAAGGACAAGAACCTGGGAAATGGGAGGCAAGGAATGAATAAGGTCAAAGCGGATCAAGTACCAATATTGACAGATCAAATGAATGAATAGGAAAGTGCAATAGCAAATGGATCAAATGCCAATATTGGGGTGAACATAATAGGCACTCGGCAGGGAATGAATGTTATGTTGCCAAGTGACAAAAATGGCCAGAGGACAAAAGCGGAGGTCAGCGCACGGCGCCGATACAAGTCCGCAAATAAGCGGGGTCGGTGTGGTGCTGACACAAGTCCACAAACAGAGGTTGATCTGCCAGCACTGTCACACAAGGACAGCATGAAGGCCAACAGAGGTACAGAGGGGAGTGGGAGTGTTGACCTGACCAGAGGTGTCAAGGGCAACCAGAAGTGGCCAGAGGGTGCAGAGATGGGCAGAGGGTGCGGAGTGGGCAGAGGGTGCGGAATGCATGGAAGCGGGGCATGGCTGTGACCACATAGTGGGAAGCGATGAGTGTGGTTCAGATGGAGACAAGGCAGGCATGACCGAATGCTGGGAGCACCAAGGGCTCAGGAACTGGAGGTAAGGTCAGAATACCGGCAGGGTCTAGGTTCTGATTATTGGCCAAGTCTCATGCAGTAAGGCAGGGGGCCAGACATGGGGTTGGGGGCTGGTTAGGATGGGTTTCGGGTCAGCAGATTTGCCTATCGGCATTGGTTCGCCACTGACGGAGCCCCGGGATTTGTCGGTCGTGACATTGACCAAGTTTGCCGATATTAACTATTTGTTTATTTCTTCATTCATTAATATTGCGCTTGATCTGCCACTCCTTCTGGGCTGGTCCTATTTAGTTACTTGTGTTTATAATGCATGTAGGTTACACTGGATGTACCTCAGTTCGTATATTGACTTGGATTTACCCCCCTTGTCTCTTCTCATCATAAGGCTTCTGTCTGAAATTGGGACACCAATGAAGTGCAGCGCTCCACCCAAGTCACTGAAGCTGAAGTCCTGCCCCTCTGACCTTACGAGCCCAGATGACTTCGCGTGCCCTTGCGGATCATCTGGATACATGTCTGACACGTTCCTGACAGTGGAATAGGTGGCAAAGGTGATCAGACCTTTGCCACACAAAAAAAAATGAAAAAAAAAATTTCATATGTAAAGGTGGTTAGACCTTCACAGAGGAATCAAAAGTAACCTGTAAAGGTGGTTGGACCTTTACAGAGGAATTAAAAGTAAAATAAAAAACATAGGGTCGTGAAACCCTAGGTCATTTATGGCTGCTCCTCCCTAAACAGCTGTTAGGGAGTGTTGGGGTTGTTGGCCCCTAGGCCAGTAAAGGCTGCTCCTCCCTAAATGATTGTTTAGGGAGCAGAAATGAAGATATTACCCATAAAAATGGGTAAATAAGGAGTTGGGCCAGAAGTGCAAGTGCGCTTATATGGCCCAGTGTTAGTAAGTGCTTAATTGCACTTAAAAACAGCAGGGAGATGGCTTATTTTAGCCATCTCTAACCTCTCATTCTTGAGAGAGAGAGAGAAGGAGTTGCATCTATGATGCAAACTCCGGAAATTGGTGAAGCGGGTTGCGCTTCCAAATGTCAGCTCTCAGCAGAAGCTGGAGGGCTGAACTATTGGTGTGAAACCAGTAGAGAGATGGTCATCTGGGCCGTCTACAACCTCTCATCTTGAGGGGAAGAGGTGGGAGCCGTCAATTTGATGGCCCAGAAGATGTTAAAGCGCTAACATGCTTTTGTGAGCTGGCGCTTGGCAGGGGCTGAAATGCCCTTGCTCTAGCGCGAAATCAGTGGGGAGACGGTCGTATAGACCGTCTCTACACACCCAAAATGATTGTGAGTGCAGGGGGTGGGACAGTTTATTAGACTGTTCCAGAAATCATCAAAGCGCGATGCACTTCGGTGAGCTGGCAAGCAGCAATGGCTGTAGTGCCATCGATCTGGTCTAAGCCAGTTGGGAGATGGTCGTATAGACCATCTCTAACCTCTCAGTATGAGAGGAAATGAGAACAAGTGGGCAGTGGGGCCCGCTTGGTGTCCAAGTGCCGATGAAAATCGCACAAGTCTTTTGCAGTTTGAGAAGTCGTATCAAGGCTGCTTTTGTGGCCTTGATTGATGGGAAACCTGGCATAGTTGGGTATGAAAGAAATCTGGTGCAATCCATGCATCAGCAAGTTATGAAGCTTCTCAGCACAAGCTGAGAAGCTGGGAAGCTAGCACCAGGCTAGCATGAGATAGTTTGAGAGATTCTGAGAGGCTAAGAGCCTCTCAGAATGAGAGATTGCTGCTAGTCAATAGCAGCAAAAGGTAGCACAGACTGGGAACTGTCATATCCATCCACGGCCATCACCCTCCACCACCTCCAGTCCTTCTGGATTACCTCCACTCCTTCATCACTAACCTTGAAGCCTCTGCATTCCGCAATTCCCTCCGACTCCCCTGATGGTCACCACCCCCTCAATTCAATATATTACCTATGCCTCCCTAAATACGGAGCCCTGAAGGCCTCTGGACAGCTCTGACATCCGCTAGCGCACCCCTGCAAGTCTACCTTTGGGCCGATCCTTCCTTTCCATTTCTGGGTTATAGCCCATCACTCTGCTAACCCCATAACCCAACTCATCAGTAATATTTAGTTGGCTAACCTGTAACTCCATTAGCTCTGCTCCCCTTGGCCCTGCCATTCACAGGCCTGTCCTCTATGTAACTATATATACATAACTTGTAGATAGGTTACACCTTAGTGATAAAATCGACTAGAGTTTCTGTGATGTCTTAGGGTGGCTCAGCACACAAGGCCGTAAGTGATACAAGATAGTGTATTTTATGGTGGTGTGTAAGCAGTTACCTGGAGGTTCCCGCTTGCCCACATGACTATATGTATCTAATTTACATGTGACTCGGGGTTCGGGGCTATTGCCCTGACAGTTTCCCCTCTTCTAGTATTCCTTGCCAGTCAGTAAATTAGGGCACAGACATGTAACTAGGCACAGCACTCCTGGTTTAGTCACTGAGGCCGAAGCCCTCTGCCACAGGGATGTCGTCCCCGCCTCAGATCCAGTCTCTGACAGTATTTTATCACTCCCTGACAGTACACATCTTGTATGGCACCCAAAGTTCCCCACACTTGTTCACAACTACATACATTAGTTCCAAACTCAGCCTCCCCATCTCCCAAACCCTCACAGCCTGGTCCTAGTCATCTGGCGAGAAACCCAGTTGAGTTTTGAAGCTTCTCTAATTTAGAAAACCCTCTCCTGTCGACTCCGATCATGTGCCCCACTAGGAATCAATCACCTGTTACAGATTCCAACTTCAGAGACACCACTGAACAACCCATAGACCCAGTCCACTTCTTTGGACTCAGCTCCAAGGTCCCCAACTTTGTCGACCCTCCTCCTGATGATCCTCCTATTCCCACTGCCCTGGTCACCAACGATGCTGAGCCTATTCCCAACATAGCTATCACACAGCTAGCCCAGGCCATCGCCAGCTTGGCTTGTCACACCAGTCACCCACCTCCTCCACCATCCTCTGCTCTCCACACCAAGGTCTGCAAGCCTGAACAGTTTGACAGTTGTCAGGGCACACCCGCCTCACCCAGCTCCACCTGGCTCCACTCCACCTGCTACCCCCTTCTCCCCCTTCCTATCTCCTCCTCCCTCCACTTCCCCCTCTTCTTATTTCTTCTCTGTCTCATTCTCTATTCTTTCTATTTCTATTTACATGGACGACTTCCCTTGATCGATGTACTACTAACCTGCCTGTGACCCATGCACAACGCACCCAGCCCCGGATGCTCCGGATGACCCCTGGGTACACCCAGCATGTGCGC